TATATGATGGACTTTTTAACGAACCCAACTGCTTGTTTTTTTTCTTTCATGGTATGTGGGGATGTTGTTGATAGTGCCAGCATTTAATGTCTGTCCCTAATAGGTATAAATTGATGATTAAGAAACTGGAGAGCAAGCTTGCAATTTACATGCCTACTTGCCTTGCATAGTATGTGAGGCTGGCATAAGGACATTGTATTGCAGTATTTTACGGTGTTGTGGAACATGGCTCATCTGATTTGAGGCCATAAAATGCTGGCCACATGCTCAAACCATGCCATGACCTTTCTCTTTCCTACCTCTGTAATCTCCTTCAACTCCATGATCTTCTAAGACCCCATCAAATTGGGTGTCCTGTCACTGGACCACCGTGAAGGGGCCTTACAGCCTTTGAGACTCAACACCAAGTTCAACAACTTTAGAGCACAATCTCTATCCTTCATTTTGATTATACATCCCTACCCATGACTTGTTGGTTTTGCTTTCAGCAGAGTGGACCCATTTTCATATTTTGACACCTATCATTTACACCTATTTAACATCTCAATCTCTTCTTCACCATGATTAGCAATACCTCTGTCATTTGTTCTGGGCACCCTCACCATCCATTCTACTTGCTTCACCCCCTCCACCCCTGTTAACTGCAGAAAAACCATCATCTTCAGTTCCTTTCAGTTCTCAAGAAGTCATATCAGACTTAAAATATGAACTCCGCTTTTCTCTCCACAGATGCCGCCAGACCCTCTAGATTAAAACAGAGGTAGACAGAGTGAATTTGATAAAAAAAAAAGCTGATAGTTTTGCAGCATATACCTAGAATTTTTCATGCATTTTGAATTTAATGATACAAGTGCAACATTTGGATGAGATTTGAAAAGTCTTCTCATAGATCACTGAAGTGCTGACAAACTCTCACAGAATAATCTATAAATACACAACTCAATGAATACAGATATCAATTTATCAGTTCAATGTAAAATGTTTCCATGTAGAATATGTACTTCTGCTTAAAAATTAGATGTGGATAACTTTTTAATCAAACTCGGACCCTGCTTGTTCCTAGCTGACAGAATTGAAAATTAATGGAGAAATCATAATCTGTTTCTTTGTCAATGGCAATTATCAGCAAATATATGCATGTTTTGTGAATGCTGCCAATTTCAGTTAATTCCCAGGACCTCAATTTGGTAAGACATAATCTGCACACTTGTATCCTATGAGAAACAAATTGGTAATTGGGCCGTTTTCATGAAAAATGTCATTAATATTATATTCTGCTTAAATGCATGCAATAATGTAAAAAGAACATCTTACAAAACGAGACCTTAGGGAATTGCTTTAGTGGTGATGTTATTCCAGTTATATTACAACGAGCAAAATAAAAAACCTTTTTACTTTATGTTCCCCTTTTTCTAGTCCCCACACTGATGGAATAAAAAGCAAATTATTGCTGATGCTGGAAATCTGATGTAAGAACTGAAACCGCTATAAAATGAGCAGGTCAGGCAGCATCTGTGGACATAGGAAGGTAGGGTTAGTATTTCAGTTTGATCATCTTTTGGCAGAACTGAAAGACGTTACAGATGAACAGCTTATAAGGAATGAACAGAGCCAGGCAAAAGAGGTGAAGATGGAAAAATTGTGCTGTAATTAAGCGAAGGTCAGGATGTGATTAAATGGCAGTGGCAGTGACGCTTCAAAATGACAAACAGGCAAATGAAAATAACAGCTGTCTGCTTCTTCTGACACCTCCCTTTCCTCTCCAGTCTTTGAAGTGCTTACACCTCCTACATCTGTGCTGCTCTCTTGAACATTTCAATCGAATCTCTGCAGAAATGTTACTGCCCTCTCACAAAGCAAAAAAAGAGCTGAACCACAGTCACAATTTAAGTCACCTATAACTATAATCATGTAGCATCTCTCCCAGTCTTTGATAGAGTCTTTCTTCTTTCCTTCTCTTCTTTGTGTAACTCAGTATCACAGCACTTGATTGGTTTCACACTACTCTACGCATTTGTAACCATAACATTTCCAAGTAAATGCATCCCTTCCTGTCCCTGCACTTCGTCCCCACAGATACTATCCTTGGTTGCCTCCTGTTCCTCACATGCATCCTGGCCTTGCTGATGATGTTAAACATCAGAGACAGGGCTAACTTTCTAAAGTACACTAATAGCACCCAGCTTCATTTTTCTTAACAATTCAACTATCTCTGCAGCTTGGCAGCTCATGTGCCAACCTATTATAATTTTGAATTCTGTGATAAATCAGGTAAATATTTGATTATTCCAGCAATTACCCACAGTAATACGAGAAATTAGCATAGTTGCTTCTAATAATTTCTACAAAATCTTTTCACATTTTTAGAAGACAGATGCTTGTAAAGCTATTGGGAATTGTACCATCCCTGTCAGAGATTAATGGAAACATATTTGTCAGGATAGATGTTCCAATTGGCAAACAGTACTGCTCCTGAATTTTGGAAGTTTGCAGATCTAGCTATGACAAAATATACCTGTGAAGTTGAGAATCTGGAATTAAATACCTGCAATTCAGCAAATCACACTGGCTCAACCAAAAGCATGAGTGCAATCTTGCCATCTCAGTTTTTTTTCAATGTAGTAGTTGGAGTCATTTCTAAGTCCCAACTCCTGTGATTTTTGAGGTCTGCCTGCCTTGGCAATCTTACCGATTAAGAAGCCGTCTCTAGAAGCTCCATCCAATTAGGGATAATGTGTTAGCTATGTAGTATAGAGGAGCAATGTGAGTACCTGAGGCTCTGGGCAGCCAGTAACCCTACTAGGAGAGGTGGGCACAGCTGCATAACAGACCATCCTTTGAGGCAGTTTGTCTTCAAACCTTTCAGAGGATGCCTCCGATGAGTTGCTTTCACAGTAATCCATTGATAGCAGCTGTTTCCTTTAGATTTAACCTATAGTAATACATCATTGTTAATTCAGTAATCAAAGCATGACTGTTAGCCATACTTCAAACATACCAAGAAGTAAAGAAAAACATGCTCTCCTTGTATTGATTATTATGCAAACAACAATGGCAGAGTTGGAACCAAGTTGGCTGTATCAGCCAAAGGTGAGTCTCTTGCAAAAAGCAAAGGGCAGAAATACCCTTTTAAGGACATTTGTGCAAAATGAAAGCTTGTTGTATGAATGAATGATCAAATAATTGTAAACCAATCAAATAAGATAAAAATTATTTTCACCCAATATGGCACAAGCCCAGGCTAAAAAGACTACAAATGAGGAGCTTGTTGGACCCCAAGAGAGAGCAACACGACCATGGTACACCAGACTGAGTGACAGACAGCACCAAATTGATCAGAACTCTGTGGACTGAAGTTCACTGATCTGATTGTATGCCTTTGTTATATGTCACATTTTGTACTCATCATGAAATATCTTAACAAAACTTTTGAGTCTGTACCTGTGCAGACCTGTACCCAGAGTGGTCAGTGGTTAGTCAATAAATATGCCTTTAATTTGCTCTTGGGCAACCGTGGTTCTGGTTGGGTGCACAGGAGAATTAAAGGAGATTTCATTGGTACCTCTGTTCTGGCGCTAGCATCTGCCAGGCTTTAGCTTAACCATGGGATGTATCTGGCCCTGATAATATTCTGACAGTGCCACCTTTATCCACATATATTCCATCTTTCATGTGCTTGCCCACTCACATAATCTATCTGAAACTAACTTGAACCCTCCTTGCATCCTCCTTATAACTTGCATTCTCACCTAGTTTTGTGCATTCAGCAAACTTGGAAAGAGTAAAATTGGACATCGCGTCTAAATCATTGATCTAGATTGTGAATAACTGGGGCCCATGCACTGATTCTTATGGTTTCCACTGGTAATTGCACTCCAATCCTCACAATGAACCATTGTTTTCCTACTGTTTCCAGTCCATTAACCAATTCTCAATCTACACCAGTATATTACCCCAGCAACATGCGCATTAATTTTGTTCACTTACTTCTTGTTTGAGACATTATCAAAAGCTTTCTGAAAATCCAAATACATGGTTGGTTTTCCCTTATTTATTTTGTAAGCTATATTCTCAAAAAAAAGCTCCAAAAGGATTGTTAAACATTTGCTCATTCAGCATCCTTCTACTGAATTTCATCTCATATTTACTTTTGGTCATTAGGACGATGGTGAAGTTGCTCAAGGGTTAACATGTCTAGAGATTTGCCATAACTCAACATAATTCTCTTTCAGTGTCCTCTTTAGTGTAAAAAAAACCCGCAGATTTTTGGATTTTTTGATGTGGCTCAGGTGCTGGACTTTTGGCACCTTACTTTTCCTCATCATTCCTAAAATATGTTGGCCAGAATTATATACATATTCCAGGTAGGAATATATCAGTTCCCCCTTTAAGCTCAATATCACAGCCTATGATTTCCCTTCTATTTCATGTAACATACAACCCAAGGTACTTTTTGCCTTAATTATTGGTGATGTCCATTGTTTCAATGATCTCTCCATCCATACCCTCAAAATTGTTATTTTGCGGTTTATCTTGATGACTAACATATTGGCTCAATGTCTTTTTTTCAGTCTCACTCCTATGTAGTTGTGGTCACTGAATTCCAAGTATCATTTCTCAGCATTGTTTTGTGATGTCTCTAGATTCTTCTACAACCAATCAACTTGCCGCCTCACCCTTGGAGTCACTGACAACTTTTGATAGTTTTGAATTCATTCAAACTTCTTTTTACATTTGCTGGAGACTATCACATGGTCATGTTGCAACAGTTAAACCAAGTAAAATGGTTCTGGATAACATTAACAATTGCAGTTGAAATAGAACTTGTTTCTTTATGTTTGTTGAGTTTTGTAAATGTTGATTTAACTTGTTTTCATGTTTGCATTTCACTTGGTACATGTGAACATTGGAAAAACAGTCATTATTTGTACTCACACAATCACAGAAATAAAGACAAATACATTGCTACAATATGAAAATACAATAACAGCAGATAACTATTAAGAATGTTACACATTTTATTAAATTCAGCATTAAGTATGCAACTCATAATAACAAAACATTGTGCTGTCTGCTTCAATATGGGAGGGAGCTAACAAACAGGGTTGATCTTTGGTGTCGAATAACTGGTCTTAAAAGAGACCCACTTTTACGGATCCACTTTTACAGGCAGGGATGATACTTGTTTCCAGCAGCTTCAGTGTTTCCTGTTTCACCTACAATGTACAGAATATGATTTAGCTCTAAATTATGTAGAGTATTAACTTGTATTCTTATATAAAATGATCAGTCTAGTGCAGAGCTCACTTAAAAAAAAAGGAACATTTGTCAGGTCTAATTTTTGCAATTTAAATTGTGCAAATATATTTATATACATGAAGAGAAAGCATAGTTTATAATGCAAACAGATGAATGACCGAAGTAATCTAAATATATAACACCTATTCTAAAGAGTAGCCACATCGTAACAGTGTTATGTCAGACTTTGAAATCTAATCCAGAAGCTCCTGAGCAGTTCTATTGTGTATCAGAAAGTTGACGAACGATGCGATGACTCCGAAAACAAATGGCTTTGCTCTTTTACGTAACAAAAAAAGCCTCTCAGGCACATGGCTGCCCTCTCCCCTTAAAAATATCTCTACCCCACCATCATAGCTACACATACGCAAACGTATCTGTTTCAAGCCTATTGATGCCAAGGTGATGCCTGGGCTTCCAAATCAAGTGTTTTGATACGTAACCACTCCTGTTCAATTGAATGGGACTGTGATTTATAAACTTGTAAAAGATTTTCAGCTTCATCTCTTGGCTTGTAATCTGGCACAGTAGGTGCCCACCCATTGTAGAAATTTCTTTACAAGATAATATACACTAAAATGACTTGAAAATCAATTTGGTCATCTTTTCGTAAAGATTTTTAGCCTGGCATATTAACAAGATAGACCGTATTCTTATTGTGACATATCTTGGACATCTCAATTTAGTTTCATTTGCCATGGATTTATTCATCAGTCACACTAAAATATAAAACAAATCATCATTTGCGACATCATGAACCAGTTGTGCTTGGCGCATAATTATTTATATAGCAGTAAATCATCCCAGATGCTGAATTATGTTGAAGACCTACTTATGATTATGATATGAATAACATTTTCAAATAAATTATAGATCACTCACTGAATGAGATCTAATTCATCGGTTATCCATACAGGGTGACATAGAATATGATTCTTATATTCAATTGAAAGCTAGTAAACAACATACATAGAGGCACAGGGTTGTACAGCATGGAAACAGACCCTTTGGTCCAGCTCACCCATGCTGACAATATATCCTAAATTAATCTAGTCCCATTTGCCAGCATTTTGCCCATATCCCTTTAAACCCTTCCTATCATGCACCTATCCAGATAACTTTTAAATGTTGTCATTGTACCAGCCTCCACCACTTCCTCTGGCAGCTCATTCCATACATGCATCACACCCTGCATGAAAAAGCTGCCCTTTTTTAAACATTTCCCCTCTCGTCTTAAACCTATGCCCTCCAATTGTGAACTCCCCTACCCTGGGAAAAAGACCTTGGCTATTCACCCTATCCATGCCTCTCATGATTTTATAAACCTCTATAAGGTCACACCTCAGCCTCCAACACTGCAGGGAAAATAGCCCCAGCCTATTCAGCCTCTCCCTATAGCTCAAGTCCTCCAATCCTGGCAACATCCTTGTAAATCTTGTCTGCACCCTTTCAACTTTAACAACATCTTTCCTATAGCAGGGAGACCAGAATTTAATGTATTATTCCAAAAGTGGCCTCACCAATGTCCTGTACAGCTGCAACATGACCTCCCAAATCCTATACTCAATGCACTGACTACTAAAGTCTACCTGTGACTCCACCTTGAATAATGAACCTGCATCCCAAGGTCTCTTTGCTCATAAACACTCCCCAGCACTCTACCATTAAGTGTATAAGCTCTGCACTAATTTGTCTTATCAAAATGCAACACCTCACACTTATCTAAATTAAACTCCATCTGCCACTCTTGGCCCCCTTTATCCATCTGGTCAGGGTCCTGTTGTACTCAGAGATAACCTTCACCGTCAACTACACCACCAATTTTGGTGTCATCTACAAGCTTACTAACCATTCCTCCTTTATATTCACATTCAAATCACTTACATAAATGACAAAAAGCAGTGGACCCAGCACCAATTCTTGCCACACACCACTGGTCACAGGCCTCCAGTCCAAAAACAACTCTCCACCTCCACCCTCTGTCTTCTACCTTCTAGCCAATTTTGTATCCAAATGGCTAGCTCCCCTCTGGATTCAATGTGATCTAACCTTGATAATCTGTCTACCATGCAGAACCTTGTCAAACATCTTGATAATGTCCATATAGACAACGTTCACTGCTCTGCCTTCATCAATCCTCCTTGCCACTTCTTCAAAAAACTCAGTCAAGTTAGTGAGACACGGTTTCCTACGCACAAAGCCATGTTGACTATCCCTAAACAGCTCTTGCCTTTCCAAATACATGTCAAGCCTGCCCCTCAGAATCCCCTCCAACAACTTACCCACTACTGACATCAGGCTCACCAGTCTATAGTTCCCTGGCTTTTCCTTACCACCTTTCTTAAATTATGGCACCACATTAGCTACCTTCCAATCTCCTGGCACCTTACCCGTGGCTTTCAACGATAGAAATATCTCAGCAAGGGGCCCAGCAATCACTTCCGTTGCTTCACGGTTCATCGCTTCAATTACCACATACCTCCTCCTTTTTCTTGACCAGAGCCTCAATTTTTCTAGTCATCCAGCATTCCCTACACCTACCAGCCTTGCCCTTCACCCTAACAGGAACATACTGCCTCGGGACTCTCGCTATCTCATTTTTGAAGGTCCCCCACTTTACAACTGTCCCTTTGCCTGCAAAAAGCCTCTCCCAATCAACTTTTGAAAGTTCTTGCCTAATTCCATCAAAAATTGGCCTTTTTCCAATTTAGAACATTAACTTTTAGATCAGGCCTATCCTTTTCCATAACTATTTTAAACAAAGTGCTCCCCCACTGATGCCTCAGTCACCTGCCCTGCCTTATTTCCCAAGAGAAGGTCAAGTTCTGCTCCATCTTTAGTAGGTACATCCACATACTGAATCAGAAAATTTTCTTGTACACAACTAAATTCATCTCCATCCAAGCCCTTAACACTATGGCAGTCCCAGTCTATGTTTGGAAAGTTAAAATCTCCTATCATTGCAACCCTATCATTCTTACAGATAGCTGAGATCTCCTTACAAATTTGCTTCTCAATTTCCCATTGAATAGACTGGGGCTATTTTCCTTGGAGCTTTGGAAGCTGAGAGGTGACCTTATAGAGGTTTATAAAATCATGAGAGACATGGATAGGGTAAATAATCAAGGTTTAATAACTTCACTGTTCTGATGCTGCCAGATCTGCTGAGCTTTTCCAGCAACTTTGTTTTTGTTCCTGATTTACAGCTGCAGTTTTTTCGGTGTTTAAATAACCAAGGTCTTTTCCCTGGAGTGGGAGAGTCCAAAACTAGAAGGCATAGGCTTAAAGTAATAGGGGAAAGATTCAAAAGGGACCTAAGGGGCAACTTTTTCCTGCAGAGTGTGGTGCATGTATGGAATGAGCTGCCAGAGGAAGTGGTGGAGGCTGGTACAATTACAACATTTCAAAGGCATCTGGATGGGTATATAAATAGGAAGGGTTTGGAGGCATATGGGCCAAATGCTGGCAAATGGGACTAGATTTATTAAGTATATCTGGTCAGCATGGACAAGGTGGACCAAAGGGCCTGGTTCCATGTTTTATATCTCTTTTACTCTATGACTGTTGGGGTGGCCTTTAGTACAATCCCAATAAGGTGATCATCCCTTTCTTATTTCTCAGTTCCGTTGAAATAATTTCACTGGTCATACTCCCAGGAATATCCTCCCTAAGTCCAGCCGTAATGTTATTCCTAACCAAAAACGCCATTCCTCCTCCTCTCTTGTCCCACTTGCTACCCTTCTATAGCATCTATACCCTAGAACATTAAGTTGCCAGTCCTGTCCATCCCTGAGCCACATTTCTGTAACAGCTATGATACCCCAGTCCCACGTTCCCAACCATGCCCTGAGTTTATCTGCCCTACCTGTCAGATCTCGTGCATTGAAATAAATGCAGTTTTACTGATCAATCTTACCTTGTTCTCTGCCTTGTTTTTGCCTGCCTTGACTGTTGACTTGCTCCTCTTCTCAACTGTACTGGCCTCAGACTTATGTCTTTTCTCACTATTTCTTGGTGCTTCCATCCACCCCTTACTAGTTTAAAGCCTCCTGAGTAGCTCTAGCAAATCTCACTGCTAGGATAATGGTCGCCGTCCAATTCAGGTGCAACCTGTCCTTCTTATACAGGTCACTTCTGTCCTTATTGGAAGCAGATATTTTATTCACAGATATATAATCATGCTCATTTATGGGTAGCTTGGTAAATTATGAATACCTCTGGAATATCCATTAATCTTCTAAGCTTCTGATCACGCCAATTCCAATCAAGGATTACATACTTCAGGGACCATACACTGAGTCCATCTGGACGACAGGAAAGAGTTAACACTCATAATTGTTAGTCATGATAGTCAACACTTCAGTATTCAATTGCCAGTTATAAGCAATCCTGAGAATAGGTTAATCTTAATATAATTGTCCCTTATATAAAGTTACATTTCATGTCCATTACATCATAACAGGGAAAAGCTGGCCTGGAATTGACTATTTCTATTTATAAAGTGACTGCAGTGGAATGCTGCAATGTGATGGCAGAAGGATTGAAGTACTTAAGGGGCAAGATTTTGAAAGAGGTGGTGGGAAGGTTGAATCTAAATCCATTTTATAAAATCCAGGGAGATAAGGTCAGGCTCATCTCATGCAGTGTTGACCACAGAGGTGGATAATAGCAAAAGCAGTCTCATTAGAAGGCCCACCTCAGGTCTCCAGCATGTTGGCCTAGGTATGTTGATACTGTCACCAAGTGACATAATTGTGAATACTTGGCTGAGCTCCAAACAGGCACTGATCAGCTCAGTAGAGGAGCTGTTTATAAAACGTGAAGGAGAGTGTCTGTTTAGAAAGCGTGAGGAAATGTGTCAAATTTATTGATATACATCATAATGAGTTTATTGTTTCTTTGATGCACTGTTTCAATACCTGAGTTCATGCTTGGATGACTTAGAAATAATGAAGTGAACTAAAGATTCTATAATTGATACTTTGGACGGCTCTGTCTGATTGACACTTATATAAATAAACACGGACTTCCAAGAGTCATTTGATACAGAGCAGACAACAGACTTACGATAAAAGTGATAGTTCATGGAATAAACAAGACCATAGCAACATGGATAAACAATTGGCAGGTGGGTACAAACAAACAGTAACGGGTAACAGATATTTGTTCAACTGAAGGAAGGTCAGCAGTGGAGCTCCTCAGGAGTTGGCTTTGGGGTCCTTACTTTTGCTGAATTATATTAATGGTCTAGATTTTGGCATACAGGGGGCAGGGGTCTGCTGATGGTGCAAAACTTGGAAGCATTGAAAGTGGTGAGGAGGTTAGCGGGGTAAAGTGACAAAAGGACATTGACAAGGGTTGGTGCAGTGGGCAGACGGATGACAGATAAAGCTCAATGTGGAGAAGTGGGAGATATATTTTGGTGGAAAGGACATGAAGATACAGGATAAAGTAAAGGGCAGTACTTCAAAGGGTGTGCAGGAGCAGAGAGATCTACTATATATACAATATATACATATATATATACTTATTCATTCATGGAATTTTGGCTAGAACAGCACTAATTGACCATCCCGAATTGCCCAGAGAGCATTAGACTCAACCACATTGCTGAGAGTCTGGAGTTACATCTAGGCTAAACCAGGATTGGCAGATTTCCTTCTCTAAAGGACATCAGGAAACCAGGTGGGTTTTTACAACAACCAAAAGAGGTTACATGGTTACCATGAAGCTACCTAGATTTTCTTTGGAAAAACCAAGATTTTACCAAATGCCAAGGTAGGATCAGTACTAAATAAGATACCTTATAGTCCACAAAAGTGGCAGAACAAGTAATTATTGTCAGCAGTTAATAAAACATACTGTATCCTCCCCATTGTAATGGGGCATGTAGTATAGGAGCAAGGAAATTATGCTGAACATACAAGATCCTGGTCAGACCTAAACTGGAGCATTGTGCATAGTAAGAAAAGACGTGAGTGCATTGAGAGTGCAGAATAGAACTGTGAGAATGGTTCCAGTGATGAGAAACTTCAGTTATGAAGATAAACTGGAGAAGTAGGGACTGTTTTACTTGTAAAGAAGGATGACAGAATGATTACAGAAAAGATTTACCAGGATGTTGCCTGGTATGGAGGGCTTTAGCTATGAGGAGAGGTTGGAGAAACTTGGGTTGTTCTCACTGAATGACGGAGGCTGAGGGGGGACCTGAGAGAGGTCTACAAGATTATGAAGGGGATGGACAGAGTGGAGAGTCAGAAGCTTTTTCCCAGGGTAGAAGAGTTAGTTACTTGGGGGCATAGGTTTAAGGTGCAAGGGGCAAGATTCAGAGGTGATGTACGAGGCAGGTTTTTTACACAGAAGGTGGTGGGTGCCTGGAACTCGCGGCCAGGGGAGGTAGTGGAAGCAGATACTATAGTGACTTTTAAAGGGTGTCTTGACAAATACATGAATAGGATGGGAATAGAGGGATAAGGTCTCTGGAAGGGTAGGGGGTTTTAGTCATGACGGGCAGCATGTTGGTGCAGGCTTGGAGGGCTGAATGGCCTGTTCCTGTGCTATAATTTTCTTTGTTCTTTGGAAGAAGTTTTCAAATTCAAGCTGGGCCTGGATAGAGTAGATAGGGAGAAACTATTCAATTAAAGCAAAATACCACAGATGCTGGAAATCTGAAACAAGCACAGAAAATGCTGGAGAAACTCAACAGGTCTGGCAGCATCTGTAGAGAGAGGAGGAGTCTGGAGAAAAGTCATATTGGACTTTACATATTAACTCCGTTTCTCTCTCCACAGACCTGCAGAGTTTCTCCAGTATTCTGTGTTTGTGTGAGGGAGAAACTGCTCCCCTTCGTAAAAGCATCAAAAACAAGAGGGCAGCAATACAAGGTAATTTGCAAAAGAAGCCCAGGAGATATGAGAGAAAAGAACTTTTTCTCAAGACAAATGATTTAGATCTGGAATGCACTGCCTGAAAGTGTGGTAGAAGCAGATTCAATAGAGGCATTAAGGAAGACTTTGGATGATTATTTGAATAGAAACAATATTCAGGATTATGGGGTAAAGAGAGGAGAGTGGCACCATGTCATAATGCTCATTTAGAGAGCCAGTGCAGACACAATGGGCCAAACAGCCTCCTTCTGTAACCATAACGATTCTGCAATAACGTTGTAAGAGCAGCAGTTTTTTTTTCCAGCAACTGCCTCTATTATTCTATGGCTCATTCGTTCCCTTCATACTGCATACTTGATGAATGGCCATGAAGATGCAGGGTGTGGAGAGCTTGCATGGGAGTAATGAGAGGGGCATGGGAAATATGAGGGATAGGAAGGGACATGGGTAAACATATCTGTCAGCAGATTCTGGATGGGAACTGCAGGGCATAGACTCACTATCCTCACACTTACCATGTGCCAACACAAATTGCCAGAGAAGGGAATAGGAATGGGAAGCTCAGTAATGGATCCAGCTCATAACTTTTAAAGACGTACAAAGTTAGCGTTACTCTGCGAAAGCCTATGGCAAAATATCTCCTTCCTAGCCAACAGCTTTTAATACACAAACTTGTTACAAGGGATGAATGAGAAGCAAGAGAACCAGCACAATAAATCTGGGGTTTGGAGAAGTTTACATACATCTGTTTCCCGTTTTAAATAAATTCTACCATAGGCTGTGTGAATAATGACAACAACACTGTTTACGCTGAATTCAAAACAAAAAATAAAACATATAATTTAAGGTGTAATTATATAGTAATAGACCAGACAGTTTTGACAGATTGAAATATAGACATGACTTAATTTTGTCTTTCAGCCAGTATATACTTCAATTCTGTCTGGCACAACACCCAAGAATAAACTTTAATTTTAAATCTAAGATGTGTAAAAATAGCTACAAGGATTATAGATTAAACTGTAGGTGTGTCAATACTTCTTCACCTGAATAAGAGACACAACAATGCAAACCTGAAGGAAGAAATATTGAAGACATGAAAGTTAAATCTGTAAACTTTGATGGAGATACTCTCCAGTTCTAAACACCTCAGTTCCAATGGCAATATTTACCCTCAAATTAACCTGGTGCGTTTATTGGTGGCAACCTCATAACAAGCTGGTACCTATCGTTCATGCTCTTCAAAGCTGCCATTCATAGCTCCCATTTCTTGTTCAAGATGGCACTCTCCTGCCCTCTTCTTCTCCAGTTAAATGCAACACCCTCCAAAATCTCCACCCTAAAAAATAACTTTGGTTTATTCTCTCTCCTCATCCACCTCACTTCCCAACAGTTAACTGTGGCATTCTCTATCCTCAACCCAAAATCATTGCTCCAGCCTTTAGCACTGTTCTCTTTCTTCCAATGATTCCACCTCTCCCCACCAAAATTGCCACCCATTTCACTTGCTGCTTCACAGTCATTCATTCTCTCCCTTTCCACTCCATCACTATCATTTCTTTCCATCTCATTGTTTTTACATTAAACCAAAAAACCTTTCTCTTAGATGCTGCCAGACCTGCTGAGTTTTTCCTGCAATTTCTGATTTTATTTCATTTTTATCTCAGCTGGGCAGCTAACAGACTGATCAAGGAAAACTGTTCTCCTTAATACCATACTTTGATGTTCACCTTGATTTGCTATAGCTGGGAATTGACAGCACGTGACCCAGGGGATATTTTGTCTGACTTGCTAAATGGGTGGCAGCTGACAGCACCATTTGTCAATCAGCTGTGCACTGGAAATCGTAATGAGGAGATTTTGGGGTAGCCTGGGATATTGGGTTCTGAACTGCATTATCATGCAGATGGCAGGAGCTGGCTCATGCGCCAATTTTCAGTAACTGTTTGGCTAAAATTGTGGGGATCTGGAGAAACAACGGCTGTGGCTTGGAATGTGATTGAAGGATCATCAAAGCTCAGGGAAGATGATGGTACGGGTCTGTGCTACTGTTGGAGAGTCTGGGAGTGTTGTCAGCGGGGTTACAGTGGGCAGTAGTTTTGGAGGTCAGTGCTAAGATTAGGAGTACCTGGAAGTGGAAGTCAGGACTGAGGTTGAACATTTCCAGGGTTGAGAGCACAGCGAATGATATTTAGTACTTAGCTTGTTTTAAAATTCCATTCCATTTGGCACTGGTTTACCTGGAGGTTACTACCTCCCAGAAATAGGTGTAAATCAAGAAATAGAAGACAGGGAAGAACATAAGAAAATTACAATTGCCAGGAAAGTGGAATGAATTGTTGGATCTGTGGTTTAACAAGTCCCCAGGACCTAATGGGCTTCATCCTAAGGTCTTAAAAGAAGTGGCTAGCAAGATT